TGTCTCCCTATGCTCAGCTTTCTCACCCATTCCTCTTTCTACTAGTTCCCTGGAGTCTAGACAGCTCCATGATAATCATTTCTCATGACCAGCTTGCTCTGTCTCATATTGTTAATTATATGATTTCAAAGGGATCATGACAATTTTATTTGAGAGCCAACTGTGGATTCACCGTGTAGATATTCCCACTTATCAGTCACATGAGAGTTCGAGACTTGTTCTGTTTATTTCTCTGATTATTTGTAAATGTGGTCATAAAGACAATAAATGACCTATCCCAGTGAACAGAGCAGTAGAGAGCAAAATGAAGATTTTACTACATAAGTCATTTGAAATGCATCTGAGACAGCCATTGAATGTTGACTTCCAATACCATCAACTTGTGAGAAAAAAAAATCATTCACCCTTAGGCTAGAGATGGTAGTGCACACCTTTAAACCCAGAAGTTGGGAAAGGCTGTCATGTCTCTGTGATTTTGAGGCCAGCTTATTCTACATAGTGAGTTCCAGGACAGCGACAGCTACATAGTAAGACCCCATCTCAAAAAAATAAGATATTCATATTTTACCAGATTACTAAAAATTCTCAGAAGCTTGGACTAGACAGGTCAGATGGTATGAACCACAAAGGTTCTCAAATGGTAGTATCATGGGAGATAGGGTGAACCAAAGTTTAGGAGATGGGTGGGATTGAATTGAAAAACATTTCCTTTCCTCAAATGCTAGGGCACAGGGAGAGCAAAGAGACATGTGGCATGCAAGTCACACCCTCCTTCACAGACATGCCTAATTATTTGGCAATAATCCCAGATATAACCCCAATGTCTTTCAAAACAGAGCAATGTGCAACAACTTATTGTCAGTCACATTTAACAGCAAGATAGACTACATTCACTATGCCTGAATTGGAAGTTGAATCTACAAGGCATTGAATAGACTCAATGTATTGATCTCTCTAGTAGGAAAAAAATGATAAACAAAGTAAAGTAAATGTTACTGCCTGGTAAAATTCATAAAAACACAATTTAAGTACTATTTTTCGATGTCCCTACTTCCTTTCTCCTTTCTTTTCCTCTCTCCCTTCTCTTTTCTTTCTTTCTTTATATGTATGTGATAAACACACAAAGAGGTGATAGAAAATAGATAGACAAATAGAGGAGAGAGAGAGAGAGAGAGAGAGAGAGAGAGAGAGAGAGAGAGAGAGAGAGAGAGAGAGAG